TGGATTGCTTATCTATCAGTATTGGATTGCGTATCTACCAGTATTGGCTTGCGCAACTACCAGTATTGGCTTGCGTATCTACCAGTATTGGCTTGCGTATCTACCAGTATTGGCTTGCGTATCTACCAGTACTGGATTGCTTATCTATCAGTATTGGATTGCGTATCTACCAATATTGGATTTCGCGTCTGGCAGTATTGACTTGTTTGTCTACCAGAATTGGATTGCGTATCTTCTAATATAGGACTGTGTTGTGCTTGCGTGTGAATGTTACCTCAAATTACCTCTTTCTTACGTTTTTTGATTATCAAACTTTTCCCACAAGACTCCAGAGTAAGCTGCAGTGAAAGTTGTTGATGACATTTTCTCTCCATTCGCATAAAAATACCAATTCCTAACGAACGTCAAAATATTGAGCTCACGATGCTAGAAGTTTTGGTGTAAGTTTGAGTTAAATCCCGAAAACCGATGCTTTTATTGGCATAAACTATTTATAAAGCTTTAGGAACAAAATGTAAAATACTAAAAATATTGTATTCCAAGACTGAAATACATTGTTGGTCGTTCTATCGTAGTGTTATATCACTGTACCATCTCCGTTCGACAGTCAAGAACTTCAAATGGAATGCAATTCAGTTTAGAATTGTTATATAACGGCATTACCGTGGAGTTTAATAGCAACGATGCATTGCGGTCTCGGGATGCGCTACGCAGTATTCATTATTCAACATTTAATTCTAAAATAACTGTATGATGATGTCAATAATTGTAGTCCTTACCTACACAATGAATGTTATTGGAAGCTCCTTTGAAACTATGTTCAAATTGTCTAAGTCTCAGAATTGTTTGTACAATTTGTAAATTTTGATTTGAGAACATATATATCAAATAAATACCAACAACCTGAAAGCGATCGATTTATCTACGACATATTTGTTTTACTTATAACTGTTCTCAAAGCGTCGCAATTGACTTACGCCTTGTCCACACGTCTCCGGAAATTGTTTTTATCCACAAGCTGTATTCCACGACGAATACAGGTTGAGTCTTCTAGTGTCCATCCGTATCAGGAGACTTTTGAAATGTCTTAGATCTTTGAGGAGAGCGACGACTTGAAACCCTTCCAAGAGAAAATAAGTTAAGAGAACCTTTCCCTCGTACTTGGCTTTGAGCGCATTTTTTTGTAACAACATTTTTTGCCTGCCATTACGTATTCAATTCTAGTATGTATTTTTGCAGAACATTTACTACACCTATTACACCATTTCAGACCACATACAAAAAATGTGGTCTGAAATGGTGTAATAGGTGTAGTAAATGAATGATCTTACTTATAAATGGAGCTCAGATTTTTCATTTACCCAAGATCATATTTTACTACATATTTTGGGTGCGGCTTAATTTTTTTTAATTGTTTAATTTATTTGCTAATACACAAAACAATGGTTACAATTCCACAATATTAACATGCAAAACTGAAAAAAAAAATAGAAAAGATTACTTACGTGTTAAATGAATAGTATCTAAAAACTTACCTATTAAAAAATGAATTTATCATTAAAACATGATGTATTAATCTTTGGGCAAAGCCTTTTAGAACAATTTTTGTCAATTAGGAGTTTTATCACAAATTCAATTATATTTCATTTTCTTGATTTAAGAAATATAAAACGGCGCGCGTGTCTCTGTCCTCTGATATAAACACGGTGGGAGTTTGAAAAACACGAGAGAAGCAAGCTTAGGAGCACGAGCGTAGCGAGTGTTTCTCTTGCCTCTCGAGTGTTTTTCAACTCCCACTGTGTTTATATCAGAGGACAGAGACACGCGCGCCGTTTTATATTTCTTTTATAAAATTTTTCGAGMGAAAAGAAAATTTTGCCGGTAAGCCGTGTCTCTGTCCTCTGATATAAACACGGTCGTCAGCCAATCAGAGCGCGCGTTATATATCAAAAATTTTATAAATTATTATATGATACAGAAGTTATGAATTCCAGTCATCAAATTATTAAGAAACTTGCTGTAATCAAACTGATATTAAGCATGGTATAACAAACATACAGCTATTTTAGAAAAAAACGTTGAGTACTGACGAGCCAATGTATCAGTAAATTTCAGAGCGACTATATCAGTTCCGTACAATCAAGAACTTCAGAAAGGAATTGCCCTATTTCATTATGACGTCACAGTATGTTTATATCGGAAAACGATGCTCAAAAACAGTGGAAATTTGGACCCATTTATATTGTCTAATAAAGTAGAACCTCAATGAATCGTGTTTTGATATATATCATGTATAGATGATTGCTCATGTACATTTGATTTGATATGCAGTCACTCTGATCCCTTCTGGCGACCATAATCCTTAGCGTTAAAACAATAGAATGTTTTGATGTGACGTCATAATTAACTAGGGCAATTAGTTTTAGAATTAATCATTTTATAAGGTGCATAATGTAAGTGTTTTGTATCAATGCATTGCGGTCTTGGAATTTACAGTTCAGAATAAAGAATTCATTTCAACGTTTTCAGAAATTGCTGTATGCCTGGAAAAAACTTTTAATTACAAGAACGCTTAAAGCAAGCTTTTCAATGAAACACTTGCCAAACAAGAACAAAATAGAACTGATTAACTTCCAAGACAGGTTCTTATTTGTACGCTGGTTTTTACAATACGTCAGTCTAAGGATTAAAAGTCAACTTTTTATTATTTCGAAAAAAATATCTCCAAACTTGAACTCGGTTCCCCTTACACTCAAGTACCAATACTCGACCATCTGGAGTTACAGCAACATCAATAGGACCATCCATTTGACCAAGACCTGAACCAAAGCTACCAAAGGACCTTATGAACTGACCGTCTTGACTGAAGACTTGCACGCAGTTGTTACTATAATCACAAACAAGAAGCATTTCTTTACCAAACACGGCAAGTCCACTTACACCATCAAACTGGCCATCTGTGTTACCTTTCTCTCCAAAACTGTACAACAGACGACCATCCTCGTTAAAAACATAAACAGTAGTGTTCATATCTAAAAACTTTACAAAGTACTTATTGTTATCATAGTCTAAATAAAAAGGGATCCCATGGCCACCATTAGGAACATCTAGTTTGATGTCAGTAAGATGATCACCATTTTGTTGAGCAAACAACTTTATAAATGTGTCTTTAGTGTCCGCATTATGGCTCAAATACGCCATGTAGTTTTGATTCACTTTGCACATTCCCGTGATCCCAATACCTTTAGGTTGTTTACAAAGAGTTCTGCTGTAAGTACCATTGATATCAAATTCCTTTATACAGCCACAGAGCTTATTATCTGGATCAATGTCGCTGACAAGTATTTGGCCTCCATTGAAGAATACTCCAAATGGACAACTCAGTTGACCATGTCCAGATCCTGTACCACCAATCTCTCGAACATACTCTCCATCAGCACTGAACAACTTTACGCTGAAATCCTCCATTTCATCATCATCATTGCGCACAGCTATTTCTCCAGTATCACTTACAGAAAGTGCAATTGGTTCGGACATCTCTTTCAAATCAATTAATCTCAAGGGTTTAAACTCTGCTTTAGCATCGATTGTCTCAATGTTCTGTGGTGAGTTTTTGATCTCTTCTCCTCCAATACTTACTACAACTTTGTACGGTGAAGGTTTCTCTGCTCTATATTTTACCAAGAATCTGCCAGTTTCAGTCTCGGTCAGTTCTTTCTGTACATCATAACCGTCGACATCTTGGATTTGTACATCAATTGAACCTTTATTGGTATAACATACATTCCCTTCTGAATTTCTTGTCACGATTCTAAACTCGTTGATAAAACCACATCTGACGTTACTTACAGACTCGATAGAACAGCGTGACGGATCTGTCACGCTTTCCACCACCTCACCGAACTTCAGATTTTCCATAAAAGAAATTCCTTCCGGGTTGGGTTTGTAACACAGGCTTGAGTTGCGCTTGACAGGTTTGGTCGATAAGATGGATTTGTTTTGTAAGATAGCTTTACAAATTACTTGTAAATTCTCATAGTCTTCTGATCGAAATTGTTTTTCAGACATTAGTTTTTCAAACTGATGTTTCAATTCAAAGATTTGTTGGATGTGTGCGTTGACTTCACTTTTCTCATCCTCATTTGCTCTTCTTTGCTCCACAAGGTTTTTTTCTAAGATAGCAATTGAAGTATTATCGTGATCTTGTAAAATCTTCATCAAAGCTCGTGTGTTATTACGTACTTTTGCCTTTTCTGTGTCAGTCTCACTTTGAATTCTTCTCATGTTCTCGTCGGATAGTTCTAGCTCTTTCCTGTATTCAACAATCAGCTCATTCAAGCGATTCATGTCTTCCCTGATAAGCTTTTTAGCATCTTCTGTTAATTTCTCAGTCTTAACCTTGTCATGGCTACAGTGCGATTTTGCGATACACTTTTGGTATAGCTGAAGAAGCGAGTTGGACTGAAATGAAGAGGGAAGCTTCGAGATGTCACCTCCTTCGATGTTCACGACTAATCTACAAGTTGGACATCTCAACCTCTTTCCTGCTTTCTCGCAAGTTTCGTTCCAACTTTTGATGCAGTTGAAGCAGAAAGTATGTAGACACGGAACTAGTGTCCTTGGATCAGTAAAGATGTCATTACAAATAGCACAAGTTAACTGTGCTTCCAAGTCGTCAGTGATACTTAGTGAAGATGCTGCCATTGTGAGTTTGCAAGCTGTTCCTGTTTGTGTGGCATCATTCGGAGAAGTATAACGGTTGACTTGTTATCACCACAGAAACCATGACAGAATCAAAGCAAAGAATATTTCAAAAATTTGAACATTTCGAAAACAAAGTTGTTGAAATGGAACCAGTGCACTAGCTGTCAACTGTTATGTTTACACAATTTTTGTGCTGATCCAACTTTATCGTGGAACGTGGTAGCACAAGACAAGTTAATTTGTTTCAATTTAAAACAGAATGCTTGTTAATGTTTGTGGAAATGAGGTAATGTCATGAAATTTAGCCATTCTTAATTAATGCAGTGTTGATCGTTTCCCCTGCTCGGAAGAATATAAGC